GAAGCAAGGAAAACTGGACCCAGAAGAATAGTTGCAGAAGCTCGAGATGAAATGTTATGGCGCTGATGGACATTGGAGGATACGCAGTGACTATGTTACCGCTCAGCGCCATGTTTGCACACGCCATGTACGGCAACTCGACTCGCCACCAGCAGCATGCAGGTTAAGACATTGTATGTGACCAACGTCTACATCCTAACGTTCAGACGTCGGACCTGAAGCCTAGGTTTGGACGGTGCTTTCCAAATTAAAAAAAATCTCGTCCAGGCAATGTTGAATCTCAAACCAGTGCTTCAAGTTGGGTAAAAGGTTTCATAAGCTTATATTTCTGTCAGAGTTACGTCCCTTTAGTATGCCATCAACCTCTTATTGAGGGTTCGAATCCCAGATTCCCCTTGATTATGGTTCCAGTCGATATAACTGAATGCTGACTTTTAAAGAGGTTCAAACCCAATTCACACACAAAACAGTACCAAATCAATTTATTTCATGTGTGATAAGATCCCCGTCATCTGTTCCGATACAGTCTCAGTTCATTCAACAGATCTCTTGCAATACGTCTAGTTAAACTGATCCTAGTCAGGTAAAACACTAGAAAAGGGAAATTTTCCTCGGGCATCACTTTAAATCCAGCGCGTCAACCATTTGTACAACCAATCCCCAAAATAATCTCAAACTTCCGCGTCATATGAAACAGACTCTGTTATCCATACAATGATCACAACTGTATTAAAGAGCTGAGTTCAGTGGGTGCAGTGTTGTGTTTGTTGCTGGTATTCGTGGTAGTGAAAATATAAAAACAACAACAACTAAAATGTCCTACCCCTCCTCACCTTTGAAAACAATGTGCCCGAGAAACATATATTTTTTATACGACAGCCTTACCTATCAGAACGTATGGATAAGAGAAATCCATATCCGGCACTACAATATGACCTGGTTGCACTGGTGGGACCAGAGTTATTTTCCACGTTGTACCTGACATGAACATGTCATGGGTTTCCGTGTTAATGTTGATCAACATGCATTCATAGTTAAAATCCTTTCTATTTTTATTTGGATACAGGCCGTTGATGTTCAGGGGTGTATGGGGGTAATTGTGCTTCAAATAGTTTAATTGTGACATGCTAATATATTTATTTGTAACAATAATGATACTGTTCGATTTCAACTTATAAAGAAATTGTTCTTGCCCTTAAAATGAGGCCAAAACGATAATCAGGCTCGAACAAAAGTCCCAGAAAAAAACTTATAAATATTGAATGATCGGTGTCCTATTGGTATGTACATATTGCAGACAGATTGGGATTGAAATTAAACACACATGCGTTTTTCGTTTTTAAATCAACCAAATGCGTAGTACGAGCATTCTATCCAAGGGGACCGCCTCCGTGGTCTTGTGGTAGAGCGTCCGCCCGGAGAGCGGAAGGTCCGGGGTTCGATCCCCGGCCGCGTCATACAAAAAGACGTTAAAAGATTGTACTTGTTGTTACCCTGTCTGGCGCTCGACATTAAGGGGCTAAAACAAGGACTGGTCGGCTCGGAGTCAGTATACTGTGTCTGAGTGGGTTTCCTGTGAAACTGCGGCATGGTATCTCAGTGAGCTAGCATTATAAATCGGCATCAGTCCGGACTAGTACAAGCAGCTGTACACACACATACACGTGCATGCACGTCGCTATATAAGTGCAATAATCTTGGACGCGACGTTAAACCCAATTTCACCTCACCTCACCTATCCAAGGGTGTTTAAAGGGTAATATTCATTAATGTGTGAATGTGCTCACAAACACATGCGGAGAAATGAACCAACCCTTATTATAGCTGTATACTAGATAACGAAAACAGGGTCATTGGGTTTTGGCCTAAAATAGATAAATAGCCCTGTTTATCATTGCTCTTATCAGACCACTGTGTCATTGGGGTGCATTTGTTCACTGTCAGCAGGATACCTGTCAACTCTGTCTGATTCGAAGACCCTACGGGTACGTGGTTGGCTGCCAGTCTGATTTAAACCAGCAAAGAATTGTAATATGTGACAATATATTCAGCATAAATTGGTGACCGTGAAGATCCGGGGTAGAATAGGTCTTGAGCAACCCAAGCTTGCCGCAAATGACGACTATGCTTGTCGAAAGAGGCGACTAACGGGATCGGGTGGTCAGGCTCGCTGACTTGGTTGAGCATGTCATCGTATCCCAATAGCGTAGATCGATGCTCATAATGTCAATCACTGGATTGTCTGGTCACGACTGGATTATTTACAGACCGCCGTCATACAGATGTAATATTGCTGTGTGCGGCGTTAACTAACAAACAAACAAACAAACAAACTTAAATTGGTGATATGTGGTTGAGTGCAAGAACTATATTGGAGCTGTCAATGACAAAGCAGCCATCAGCATTATGTACGCCGTCGGGGAACGATGACACACAATCAACCAGGTCACAGAGAACGATCCATTTAGTCTCCTCGTGAGGCTGCTAGGGACCTCCTCTAAACTGGAATCCCCACGAGCGTAAAATACGTTTATATCATAAAGTCATTTATGACATTTTGACATAAATTTTGATATAAATAGATAAAAGCTATATATCGTTTCCAAGACACCCTTGTTATAATAAATAATCCCCCAAAACCCCTAGTTATAATAAATAACCCCCCAAAACCCTTTGTTATATTAAATAACCCCACAAATCCAATGATTGTCGTAAGATTCGACAAGTATATAATTGGCCATATCGCCGAAATGCAAAACCCTCAGGACCTACATGCCACCAAGCTGACACGCCGTGATAAATTGAAATACTTTCAGTGCGGCGTCAAACAAACTCACTCATATTATTCACTAATATGAACCCTATCATACTGGAGAGCAACATAGAAATGTTTGATGGTGGCTAAAAATTAAGATGGTTATTCGATGGTGATGTATTTGATGCTTATATCATGGTTGTATTTTGGACATTAAGTTTGTATTTGTTCGTCGACTGTTTTCAGCCAAGTAACGTTTTGATAACGTTTGTAATTTTTTGGTCAATTCTAATTTTCAAACGTATACTTTCTTTTGCCCGGCAGTTTATAAATGTTTATTTCCAGTAAGACAAAAACATTTACACAAGTCTCCTGACATTGTAACTGCACTTCCTGGGTATTAGACTCATGCAATTGAATTCCTATATTGTTTATGTATGATGTCAGCGTCGCCCTAACAATCATTATTAACGCATTTGTCAGGAAACAGCAAGACACGCCGAGACGCTCATGTGTAGCCGCTCAGCGTATGGGGATGTTAAGCTGTGGACGGGGATCTGACGTGAGGAGGATATGAGCGGCTCAATGTCACTGACTCTCATCCCCAGTCAGCTGATGCTGTGGCGTTTCCGCATCTTGACAAATGTATGTAAATAAAAGTGACAAAGGGGCGTTGGGGTTGTCTTATATCCTTAGCCTTAAAGGAGGCCTGTGAGGTCAAATATACGGCTTCCCTGGTCTCAAATCTGGATATCTCGGCACTTGTTTATCATAAACTGCGGTGCAGAGTTGCAGATGTGCAGAGTTGCCGATGTGCAGAGTTGCCTCCCCTCAGTATACCAGAATCTTGTGGTCAGGCGACTCACAGGAAACTTATTGACAGCGGAACACCGTCGTCAGAGATTGAGATGGGCCCGGACTGTACGTCGTTGGGAGCGTCGTGACTGGCAGAGGGTCGTCTTCAGTGATGAAAGTCGGTTCTGTCTGTCCAGAGCTAATGGAAGGACAGCGTGTTTACCGCCGAAGGGGAGAACGAACGGCGGTATGTTGCGTTCAGGAGGTCGGTCAGGTGGAGCGGGTTTTATGGTGAGGGGAGGAATTTGTTGGCAGGAGAGAACACCACTGGTTATCTAGACTAACATCTAGTCTCTGAAAAATATCTTCCAGAAAAAAAACAGTTGTTAAATTATCTTAATAAAGATATAATAAAAAGGAGCCCGGAGATTCTTCATTTTCCGATACTGCAGTAATCTAGACTTGCCTGCAAATATAGACTTGCATGGGTTTTATTGGATATATTTGTTTGAGGGTCTGTATGACAAACAACTGGTCATCGTTAAATCCCATACAGCCCGAATCGTACAGAACGTCCTTGCAGCAAACAACGTCAACGTATTGCCGTGGCCTGCACGCTCCCCAGACATGTACCCCATAGAACTTTTCTGGGATGTCAAGGATATTCGTGTTCGACAGGGATCACATCCTCCAGGCAAACGATAAGAACTGATTAAGGCCCTCCAAGAAGAATGGCGACGTATCCTACGTGACGGCATCAGGCGACTGACGTTTAATTTCTGGGCGCCGGAGTGTTTTTGCGTGTCCTGAAGCAGGGGGTGGTCAGACACGCTATTAATGTGACATGTCATTGAACTTAGATGTGTTGAGCTTTGTCCATGACATTGAAAGCTTGTTTTTGCAACCCTGCCTCATTTCGGGCAACTGTCATGCCAATATCGGATGTTGTATGACTGTCATTTTAAATGTTGAATCGTTGAGATTTTGATACAGTTTACTTCATGCGTCTATCGTTTGTGGTTTAAACTATGGCAAACCTTCCTTTGACCGTCATTTTAATGGATTATCATTCGATGAAAATGTTTATACAATTGAAATCAACTATATTAACTGTCTAGCACCCGAGGAATTTCTTACCTGTTCTGATTGTATGTATTTATTCTGGTTGTTTAATATTTTAATGAACAGGCATCTACTTAATAAAGTTCATAACCACCCTGTTTACGCTAGATCAGCGGAATTACATATTCTTTTAGTTTTTCACAACATATATTGATTTAATAATTTAATGATAAATTGATTTCATAATTTCAAAATTTCATTATTTTATTTATTTCAAAATGCATGTTTGACCTTTAAGGACTGTTTGTAATAACCAGTCTCCGAACAATTTGTCTTTTATACTCTGAATGAAATACGCCCTTGTTATCTAAGCCTAACCAAGTTCACATCACCAACAATCACAAACGCGTTCATGAGATTAGAAGATCGTGCACATGACTTACACATGAACAATAACAGAGTGGTTAAGAAGAGGCCTACCTATGTAAAAAACAATTCTAATTAATGTTTATGTTTACAAGTTTAAGTAAACCACAGCTGGACTAACGAGAGAGGCAAACCCAAACTGGACAAGCGTTTAAGTTATCGTAAAACGGAACAAGTGTTTAGAAGTCGTAGCAGCATGTGTGTGTGTTTGCGTGACGTGTACTGAACACGGAGAACAGGGCCAGAGGGAAACGGGGCATACGGCCACTTGCAGGGAGCGGAGCGGTAGTGTGGGCTAAGGCTTCTGTCGGTGTGTGTAATTGGATCGGTGGAATATTAAATGTGAGACACTTGTGCCGTTTTCAACATGGAATATAAGGCTTGGACTACGTTGTTTGTGATTTTGGTTCAAATCTTGGTAAGTACAGTTTTAGTCATTATGTTATTAGCATTTAATTGGTCTTTAGCATTATGTAACAATGCATTAAAATGTTTGTTAATTTGTCTTGTCATGTATTTTGGTACCTGTTATGCCTACATGACAGATCGTGTCATATTTTTTAACACATGTGTTATAATGCTGCGTCGGTAGATAATTATTATTCCCGAGCTGACTCGTATCTGAGATTCCAGATGGGAAAGGTTAATTCTTATGCAAATATCATTTTTCATGGTGTAGCCGAAGCTATGTCATATATAACGGAATATATGTCCACATATTTGACCATAAATTAAATGCTTATATATAAAATATAAGAATACCTTCACTGTTCTTTGTTAATGGATGCATACCGGGGAATATATGAATATATTTGCATAAATCATGATATATTTGAGTCATACTTAACCCCACCCAATATTACATGCAAATGAATAACGGCCTTCCCAGAAATAGCCCATCATTTGGACAGTGCCCGTGACACATGCTGACGTTGAGAGATTTCTGGTGTATTTAAACCACGCTGTAAATCCTACACTGTCACTCAGGCTTAAAATACGAAAAAATCATAATTGCAGTCTTGACATTCAGATTCTTTTAAGATATATGTATGTGCGTCTGGAATCACAATGCAAGGAATTCCTATAACGTGTTTTATAACATTTACTGAATTATACATTTAGGTATGTAAGTAGGTGTACGGGGACAGAGATACAGGTATTGATTATTTTACTAACGTAAGGGCGTTGTTTAACGCAGTATGCGTTAAAGGGGGACCATGCTATAAGTTGTTATTAGTGACTGCGTTAAATAGGGGCGGTCGGGTAGCCTAGTGGTTAAACCGTTCCTCGTCACGCCTAAGACCCGGGTTCGATTCCCGACATGGGTACACGTGTGTGAAGTCCATTTCTGGTCTCGCCTGTCGTGCTATTGCTGGAATATTGCTAAAAGCGGCGTAAAACCATACTCATTCGTGAAGACATTGTTTTTGGGTAATCATCTGCAAAATTTGATAATACAATCTGAGTTTACAGACCAACGTGGGTTTTTAATAATCTAAATTTGTTTGGGCTACATTTTCACCCGAGCCAAGCTTCCCTTTAAGGTCGCTAGGAGGAAATAATTGTGAAAGTGCGATGGATAATTTTTTTGTAAATTAAATTTACAGTCACGTGTCCACATCCAGTCTTCATTTGGATTTGTTTTTGTGCCACGTGTTAGTGAGTATCTGGTACGTTGATACGTCCTGACTACTGCACACAGATCACAAACCAGTCGGTTAAGAAACGTCGGCGGAGAGTAGTTGGATGGGTAACAGTGTTCCTTAGTGTTTCTAGGGCTTCGTTTCTGCCACATATTGAAACACAATTATGTAACATGTACTTGTGGTATCTCCTTAGGCAAGGGGCTTTGTTCGAAATATGCCTGTGTTCACCCTCAGTGAATGGGTACCCGGTAGAACTGCAACCTTCTAGCGCCAAATACGGTAGCTTGGTTTGTTGGTTTGCTTTATTTAAAGCCGCACTCAGCAGTATTCCAGCTATATGGCGGCGATCTGTAAATCATCGAGTGTGGGACAGACAATTCAGTGATTGACATCATGAGCGTCGATCTATGCAATTGGGATACGATGGCATGCATCAACCAAGTCAGTGAGCCTGACCACCCGATCCCGTTAGTCGTATACTACCCACTCGGACGTAAATGGAATTTAAGTACACACTGACACAAAGATCGGGGTCATCATAATGCTGTGCGGGGGCACGGGTGGCCCAGTCGCCTAGGGCGCCGCGATTCGCTGTGCAGAGTTGCGTCCCTTGGGCACGCCAGAAACCTATGATTGTGGGTTCGAATCCCGGTTCGCCCCGATTATGTTTCTAGGTTTGTCAGCACCGTACCCGTGCTCGTGGGTTTCACCGAAGTGGTAACCGTCTGAGACCTGCATCACTTCGGGCTTTCGCCCCACATTAAGCTGATACCGCGATATACATGTAACTGGAATACTGTTAAAAGCGGCGTTAAACCAAACTCACTCACTCACTCACTCATAATGTTGTGCCATGATCATTCAATTGGTGACTGGAAACTAACTCCTTATAACATGGACAGGAAAAACGGAATACGTTTCTTGGGAAATGTTCCTGCATTACACGCCATCTCATCCTCGCTTAGCCAGGGTACATTACATCTTCATTCCTATATGATACAGATTTATCATAATGAAATACTGTGCAGAGTTGCGTCCCTTGGGCACGCCAGATTCCTGTGATTGTGGGTTCCAACCCGTACGCCCCGATTATGTTTCTAGGTTTGTCAGCACCATACCCGTGCTCGTGGGTTTCACCGAAGTGGCAAACGTCTGAGACCTGCATCACTTCGGGCTTTCCTCCCACCCTAGCTGACACGCCGCGATATAAGTGGAATACTGTTAAAACCCAACTCACTCACTCTTAAAGAAAAGTATACAAGTGTTTTATGAGAGAGGACGGGCTGAGGAAGTTCTTTATGGGGCTGTCACTGTGACACACGTCTCCAGGAAGGATTACACGGCCACAGTAAGCTGATAGACCAGTTGGTTGTTTCCTGTGTAATAGATGCTTTAAAGGTGTACTTAATTATCTTATGTTTCGTCCATCGCATTACACGCGGTGTCACAGCTGTTTTCAATAAGATTTAGTATACCCGATAGCAGAGACAATTTCCAAATGTTTAACTGTTTAGTTTGCCTTGAAACAAATAGTTTGTGTGTGTGCACCCCGCTCTTCCCCTTTATAAACGAAATATATCATAATGTTTTGTTAAATTCAGCTCGGTTTGTGCCCGCAAAATGTGTCACTTATTTACAGAACATTATATCACGTTTCATCATTTAAACTGTTCTGTCTCCGTCTAGCTGTACCCGTAGATGAGCACATCAATGACACTTGTTATATGTGACGGGTTCAAAGTATCCTGTATTATCTGATAAAGTTATCATATTTACAAGTGACATGCATTTCTATATCGTTTGACATGCCTCCGACTTCTCATACCTGTGGGAACACGTGGTAAGGGTCTCACACGACTCTGATAGCCTACATAAAACAAAACACCATTATAAAACAACACTGATTTTAACACTGATGTGTCATGCATAATTGTGTACTACAGAACGAGTAAGTGAGTGAGTGAGGTTTTTATGCCGTTTTCAGCAATAACTCCGCATGACATGCATTGTACCCATGTAGGGAAGCGAACCCGTCTCTTCGGTGTAGCACGCAGCATATTAATGATGCACGTAATAGTTAAGTTTTAAGTAAAGTTAACTTATAATGATTATTCAGCGACTTATCTAGAAGCACTTTTTCGCGCCATCGAGACAATCGCAAGCGTTGTGTGGGCACCTGCTGTCTATCTGGAAGAGAATGTTACAGCTACATGCGTGAACACGCTCGGTATGTACACTAAACAGAATAGTATGCATGTTAACAAACATTTGATGTGATATACTCAAGCATCCGTCACTTGTAAAGCGCCTCCCCCCCTCTCTCTCTCTCATGCTTGCTCACATATCATTCGTTTTATATTTCCAATTCCTCCCCTCCTCTCTCTCTCTCTCTCTCTCTCTCTCTCTCTCCCCCGCCCTCTCTCTCTCATGCTTGCTCACATATCATTCGTTTTATATTTCCAATCCCTCCTCCCCCGCCCTCTCTCTCTCATGCTTGCTCACATATCATTCGTTTTATATTTCCAATCCCTCCCTCCCCTTTCTCTCTCTCACTCTCTCTCATGCTTGCTCACATATCATTCGTTTTATATTTCCAATCCCTCCCTCCCCCTTTCTCTCTCTCACTCTCTCTCATGCTTGCTCACATATCATTCGTTTTAATTTTCCAATTGCCCCTCTCTCTCCCTCTTTCTCTCACTAACTCATGGTTGCTCGCTCCCTCCCTCACTCATTCACTCACATATCATTCGTTTTATTTTTCCACCCCCCTCTGTTTCTCTCTCTCTCTCTCTCTCTTTCTCCCTCCCTCCCTCCCTCCCTCATTCACTCACCCACTCACATGTCATCCGTTTTATATTTCCAATCCCTCTCTCTCTCTCCCTCTCTCTCTCTCTCTGGTATACGCTTATTTCTTTAACCGATAACATATAGCCTACAACGTGGAAACATACCGACGTCTTATTCTATAGAAATGTCATACACCGCTTATTTGAGCTGGGTTGCCCACAACACTACCATCCGTCCTTGCAGTTGACTCACTCTGTGATCGGGACAAGCACTTTATCTACATGTGTACTTTACCTGAAGGTGACTTGTCTATTCCGCTGTATGTGGGCCATATCTGATCAGCTAGGAGAACGTTGCATTTGTCAACACCCTGCAAGTGTTGTTGTGTCACTGTGTCAAGTTTTGTCCACACAATAACGCGTGGTCCAGCCCCATGTGCTGAATCGAACCCGGGCCTTCAGCGTGAGGGGCGAACGCTTTAACCACTAAGCTACCCCAATGTTTTATGACCAGATCAGTTCTTATGTGTTTAATCATACATTAACTTTCATGCTAAATTTAACATAAAAATATGTTGGCGACTTTCGAAAGAAGTTCTTTCCTAGGAAGAAATTAGACATAATCGTATCTCTGTAAAGGAAATGCCAGATTCACTAACCCAGTGACAAACAGTCCGTCTGAAATATACTATGCAGGACGTCTTCGGTGTTAAACATGAAGACATGTGAAGACCTGGGATAGAATAGGTCTTCAGCAACCCATGCTTGTCGTAAAAGGCGACTATGCTTGTCCAAAGAGGCGACTAACGGTATCGGGTGGTCAGGCTCGCTGACTTGGTTGATGCATGTCATTAATCCCAATTGCGTGGATCGATGCTCATGATGTCAGTCATTGTATTGTCTGGTCCAGACACAATTATTTACAGACCGCCGTCATATAGCTGGAATATTGCTCAGTGTTGCGTTAAACAACAAACCAACAAACC